ATATATAAAGCTATATTGCAAAATGGGAAAGGGCTACCAAGGGACCAACTGTAGTTTAAGAGGTAGGCCCATAAGCAGACTGATGCCTTAGAGATATTTTTAATTAAAGCAAGGTCACTATGGCAAAACAATAAAATCTTGGACTTTAATATAATAAATTTTGAGTGAAATGGGTTCACTCAGTTAAGGTTTCATTATTTTATGTTTTTAATCTTAACCTCCCTTTCTGCAGAGCTGTAGGGAGGCTGGATTGGAAAGCGGGGGAGCGAGAAGCACCCATGACATCAGATATTGACTTTTTTTTGTTAACTTTAGCACTCCATGGTATTCTCACATAAAGAAGCAGAGTATCCAGTTTGAAAAAGCAAACATTAATGGTATTCGTGTATCACAGGGCAGCAGTTAGTTTCATCAAGACATCTTGGGTCACTCAATCCTCACCTATTCACTGTCACGGCAGGCAGGTTGCATCCTGTCTGCTGTGAATATGTGCAAGCTGTCAACCTTCAGCTGTAACTGCCTGAAAATAACTACCCCCCTCTTTTTCAGTATAATACACCTAACCACTGAGAAAAGGATATAGCAATGCCCAGTATTGAAGTTCTTTAGCCTGCAAAAGTGAAAAACGTTGTGTTTAAAGGATGGCCTATCCTCCCCCAAAACATCTTGCAAAAGTGCAGGCTTATTCCTCATTTCATCACTGCACTTCACGGAGTCGTCTTGGCTCATCAGTAGAGCAGACAACCTTAATACCTCTATTACTTCTACAGTTTGTTTTCATTCACTGGGAAATACAGCCATGACTCAACACAAACTACACATCCTTGCTTACTTTTCTCAATATTTTTTCTTTCATTCATTTGGAGACAGATAATACTTGACAGACAGACAGACTACTGGACTTTTAAAAATTTGACTCCAATAAACCTGTACCTTTGAAAAAATCTTATGAAAGCTTCTGCTGTTTAAAAATAATTCTGTCTTTATTTCACTTCCCACTTCATATAGTCATTTTTCTAAATAACTAAATGCTCTGAAGCTACAGTTTTTAAAGGGCTCCAATATTTATATCACTCTGTTTCTTATTTCCATCAAAGAAAAGCGAATACAGCCTTTGTGCTCGTAACGGTGTTTATCTACAAAGCATAATCTGATACTATGAAGATTCACGTCGATGTAGCTTGTACTTTTTTCCCAGAGTGTGCCTGTGTTCTTCTTAGGGAGATGTTCGATTAGGCATCTGTCTGTCCACTTCAACAGTGCAGTAGTCATTAGAAAAGACCCTGCACACCAATCATTTTACCTCTGCTCAAGTGGAAGCTGCGATTACAAGGTCACCAGACTTTATTACCTTAAGTACAAAATGCACAACGCATTTTTCATTGTGCCATGTATTTTATGCCTTGTTCCACTCATTCTTTAACTTTAGCAGATGCTATTAAAATGATGGGATTTTAGTAGAAGGCAAAGCAGTATTATCACTGTCATCACACCATGAGAGTATGGCTGAGACAGTATGCCTCAACATACCAGGATCCTGAAACTGAAACAGCTAAATGCAGTTCAGCCATTACTTATTTATTTAGACCTGTGTTTTATCAGCTGTAATGTGCTAAAATTCTTCAGAAATAGCCTATTGCAGGCTTTAACAGATATTAAATGAACAGTATCTAAATTCTTGCATGTTTCTGAAGACGGTTATAATAAGGTAATTACAAGAATGCCTAATTATTCTCCCTACCTTACCTTTAAAATCCTTCATGGATACATGTTGTTACACACACCTCTGTGCACCTGTAGTATGCTGCTGAACCATGCTTCTTTAAAGGTTAGTGTACATGGTTGCACAGGACAGTGTAGTATCCTTTTAGCGGTTTGTGATTCATTGACTTTCTAGAATATTGTTTGCCACTGTTCTGTAGAATTAAAGCCAGCCGCCCTCCACTCACAATCTCAAAAAAGAAAAGAAGAAGAAGAAGAAGAAGAAGAAATGAAATACACTCTGTAGCTGGCACTGGGGATTATGTTTCCTCAGAAAGGACAGCATTTTCTCACTCTAGACTCCTACAGAATGTCAAGACAGTGGAATTTCATGAATTTATTAAGTAAAGATCAGTTAGCTCCAGTGCACCTGAACCATGAAAACACCACCAAAAACAATATTCACAGCATAGCCATACCTCTGAATATGTGAAAAGCCTTTATTGGCTTGACAGGCATAATTAAAAGAAATTTTAGGGGTTTTTTTGACTCAAACTGGGGTAAAACCTGAGGGACTGACAGTGATATTTATTACTGTTTGGGTTTTTACCTATTTTTATAGCATTCTCTGTGAATAGTGAACAGCATACTCTGGAGACATGCAGCAAAGATACCGAAGAGATTATATGAAGAAAAAAAAAAGCTAAGCAGAAACTGACAACAACACCTCCACATGGTACCCCCCACACAATGTATTTGCATCAGCATTTCCTACCCAGCTGCATTTGAATTATTGTGATGATGGCATTTTTAAGTCACATTTCATTAGTAATTTGAGCAATAATAATAATGATGATGAGATTAAATGATGCGGCAATACACAGTAATAATAGATGATAAAAGCCAATAATAAATGATAAATCTGTACAAATATCAAAGAAAGCGTTTAAAAATGCATTTTGAGAAGTGTTACTGATTGAGCAGTGAGCAGGTAGTTGATCAATAAAGCCACTGCCACAATATTAAAATCAGCAAATGTGTGCTATTGCGTTGGTCCCTTTCTTGTTGTTAAAACAACTGGTGCTCCTATCGGAATGGACACAAGAGCTGTGGGGGTATCATGTGGTCTCAGCACTGGAATATTGGTAGCAGGACCTTTAGATCCAGTCGATTAGAGGGTGGAGCACTGCTGGTGGAGACTGATGTGCCATTGCTTTTTCTGCAACAGACTTTATGCAGGATGCGTCAAGTTAACATCCGCATGAATCCAAGCAACTAAGGTTTTCTATAACAACATTGCATTGCAACAGGATTATCGGTGTTATTCACCTCACCTGTCAGTGATTTTACTGCCGTGGCTGATGTATATGGTGTATATGTAATGTGTGTAATTTGGAATATTTTCCTATTACTATTTATAGTCAGCCTCACCTTCACCTCTTTCTGACAATGGTCTCCATCAGGACAATCGAGGTCAAGGAAGGTCCACAGACCTATGGCTGTCCCAGCCTCTTCTGCTCCCATGTGTGAGCTGGACTAATGAGGCAGACAGCTGCTCCCGTAGTTGAAATGTCCCTGTGGTGAACTGTACCTGGGAGAGACAATGTCACCTTCAAATTCAGGCATATTACTGTACTAATGGAAACCAAAGCAGACGTGTAAAATCAAGAGAAAAAAATGTGCAAAGATTAGCTTTTAGACAGTGAAATGTATCCAGGAAAAGGCGGTACATTAGTTTCAAGCATGAACTCGAAAGCTTTATTGCTTTAACACAATTTATCCTTTAAGGGTATAGCCTGCTCAGGCTCATATTAGCCTACACTTTGTCTTATCACAATTCCCTACGAAGGAGTATTGTTTTAGACATCTGATTCTGAAGCTTGGCAGAGTTCAATAAAACAAAGGCGGGATAGAAATGCGTCTGCAATGTAATTAGGGGACTATGCTGAGACGACAAGTACAAATGTGGAATAAGAAGGTAAAATCCAGCAAGGCTGAGTGATTAGGCCTCATTTGGATGTCTTCTACACACTGTGACGAGCGGCTGTTTCAGGGCACGGCAGTCACTCGGATCGAAGGCCCACGGTGTCTAGGATTATGTGTCAATTTACCACCCAGCTGCAGCTATACACTCTACAGCAGAACATGACTACCTCTAATTAGGCCATGCTACCAATTAGAGCCCAGCAATAAGGAAGCAAGGAAAGCACTTTGGGAGATTAAAACCTACCATTGTTTCCACGATAAAAAATCACTGTCTTCTACAGCTGTCAAAGGCTGGGGACCATGACAACCAGGCTCCCATTAAGCTATCTTTGGTTTACTGTGATGTAATGAAGACGTAAATGGAACTGGGCAATATGACAGAACATTAAGTTTGCAAGGTGTCAAGCCTGAAATGGTACATTAATGTGATTCTGTGAAAGGACAGTAAAAACTAGCCCAATACAGCAATCTACTCATGTCACAACCATGACCTCAAACTGTGTTTTATAATCCTACAGGTATCCTGGGTCAGATCCCCATAACTCAGAATGTGACGGTGGTGGAGGGGGCCATAGCCAACATGACCTGTCGTGTGGATTACAATGATAACACTTCCCTCCAGTGGTCAAACCCTGCACAGCAAACTCTCTTCTTTGGGGACAAAAAAGGTAAGTAATACTCACAGGGAAAATGCTTGTGATGATTAGATAATGAGATAAAGACGTCTTAGGCAGATTATATTACAAGAGTCTTATTCATTAATTTTTTAAAATTTGGAGCATTCAAAATTGCCCCTGCCTGCAAGCACGCTGTTTGACTGAACACAGGGAAAAAATGATACGAGAGAAATAAATGCATCACTCGTAATGTTGAAGGAGACTATTAATGAATGTGTATCTCCATTGATGTCCCAGGGCACAAACTAAGCAGAAATAGACTGCTTTTGAATTGCACTTTTGTAATCATGAAACACTGACAGTGTTGTTTACAGCACAGTAATGCCTGTGGATTGTAAGATGATTGGGCTTAATTAGTATTTTAGTTGCCCTACATTTGTATAGCTGTTTGTATGTCACTCTGGAAAGGAAGTACAGTGTTGCAACCTTGTGAAACACGGCCTCAGCCAGAATGAATTATAATGTGCTCTCACCAGCCAAATCCAATTTAAAGGTGACAAAAAGTCCAGAGTTGATAAATTGGAATTGGGGTGAAAGGGAGTATAACATTGGACTGGTATGGAAGGGCTGGGGTGTTCATCTTTCAGTGTTTCTCACAGCATATTACCCATTTCATTTATGGTGTAGCTGCTAATACAATATCATTGGTTCAGTGATTGAAGATGAACTTTCCCTTTGAATAACAATTGATAAGAGGCAGAGATGCCAGAGTGAACCAGCAGAATGAGAGTCACAGTCTGGATTGAAGAAATACTTTCTCCCTCACAAGTGATTGGATTTAGTAATGAGGTCTAAGGTGTTTTATTAGATGAAATTACTTCCAAATACAATTAAATGAAAGTTAACTGAATCTTAAACAGATACTCTTATGTGAATGGTGTAAATGTGACCAAAGGATCCGGTCTTTGAGCCAAACCGTATTTTTGGAGAGAATAATAGTTGTGGTATTTTAACATGTCAAAGGTAAAAGCCTTTAAAAATCATTTGGAATGGATTTTAAATGTTTCTGATTACGTCACTTTGATATTTTCCATCACATAATGCAAATGTTTTTTCCCTCCCTAGATTACACAGTGTGACTGGCTGCATCATTAACAGTTAAGGGCAACAGCTGGCTGATAATATACATTAGCTAGTGCTGTAGCTCATGCTTATAAAACATCTTACAATGTAGAAATTCATAATATTTGATGGGGCGTTAGTTTAGGCCCAGTGGCCATGCATGCCAGTCGGCTATTAAGCCTGTGGAAATGGGAAACTGCAATTTCTGATAAATCAGTGACACGACAACAATGATATTTTTGTTTTCTTACCTTGAGGCAACTGTTGTTGTCTTTTGGTGCTATATCAATAAAATTATATTTTCACGTTTGACTTGTATTTCCATTGCAACTTGACTTTTATTAGACTTGTTAGACACCTATAGTTTCAAATGAACCAGATCATACCTGAAAAAGACTCTTCTTCATTATCAAGAGATGTGACGTGATGAATCAACTTCTTTTTTTAATTTAACATAAATGAAACCGGCTGGCTATAATATGTTCCTATCTCCTGTGAGTGCAGAGCTGCATCTACTTGTAAATCTGCAATGCTGTTGCTTTAAGCATGTAAGGAGAGCTTGGGGAGCACAATACGTGTGAGCCATTTTGCCCTTCTTGGGTAACAATTTATATTGGATGACAGAATCCTTTTCCTGAGCAATAAGGATGACAAAATGAATATAGTCCATTCAGCAGAGGTTGCCAGGGCTAAGTGTGGGAACACTTCCTCTTCATCTCCTACAGCCAAATGAAAAGCCTTATTGGCACAACAAATATGATGCCTGTGAGGCTATCAGGACAAACTGGAGGCGTAGAATGACACAGGCTTCATATGACGAACAGGGTGGGACACCTGGGAAGAAATCTCTGCTGTGCCAAATCACCAGTTAATTGCTTGGCAGAGGGCTGCAACTGTCCTTCTTCTGCCGTTTGTTGTGCCTTGTTGTAGAGCCAATGAAAAATGTTAAATTCAACCTTATGCTACCTTTCAGTCCAACAACTAGCTACAGACTGGTTGAGCTTGAGGCAAGCTGTTCTCTCCCTCTCATGAACAGCTGCTTGTGGACTGCTGTCACGGAGTAATTTAGATTTTTGTAGCCCTTCCTTTTTGCTAGTGTTTAGATTTATGGCTTTATTTTTTTTCCTGATGTTCTGATAGATATCTCCTTTCCTTTGTGCTTGTTGTCTCTGTGTGCTGTCCACCTCTGCATACTATAATCCTCTTGGGAATCCATGACAACATGGCCATATGTAACCATTTGAAGCTCATGCAAGTTCCCTTTATTCTCTCTTCACAGAGAGGATGGGGGGAGTTTGTCATTGTGCATGTGTAATCCAAAGGCGATTCAGCTTTCACCACTTTTATGTGTGATTCTGGATGCATAACACATAGAAGTAATGATGCTATGAGGCATATTTTTTGAAATCTACTCTTGGTCATTCCCTCAAGCTTGGTATTAAAGATAAGGGCATGTGTCTGGATGTGTTTGGAGCTTGATCTAAAATTGTGCGAGAGGAAAAGGAGTATTAAAATGACCTTTTAAATTCCTTTGAGAAGTTATAGCAGAGTAAAGTGAAACAACTAAAAAAAACCTGACATTCCATATTCAATTGAGTTTTACAGCTTCTGGGTAAAGTAAGACAAAATCTGATCTTTGCCCGAGCTATAATTTGTTCCATTTTAATTCAGGTCTGACAAATTAGATTTTTTTAAAACTGCATTACAGCCAAGGACAAAGGGATTTCTGTGTCTTTCAAAAACACTGAATATCATAAATCTACTCCAGCTTAACAGAACTATATGTAGTGTGTGCAATGTCTTTGGAATTATTATTGACACTGTTTGTTTCAGTTACATCAGTTATGGCCAGGAAAAATACTTCACTTAAAAAAACACATCTTCCAAGGCACAGCTTTCTGATTAGCCACTCCTATGGTAAAGGTAAATTATTTGTAACTGTTCACCCTTGCCAACATGGTTTACTGTTATTAGACGACAAGCAGACGTGAGCAAGCTGTATTTGGTGTTATAATACAAGGGATCACATTAAAGGATGCACTCTTGTGCTTCAGTTTTGTGCATCATTTTTAGATCTTTTGGCTGATAATTGGGTTTTAAGTTACTAGAATGAAAAACTTGATAGCATGCCAAAAAAATAGCAAAGATTTGGAACAATAAACACCTATGATCACTACTGTACTGTATTAAACTCTGCCTAGTTGCTAGTTAATGCTTTATTCTGGGATTTTACGAGAAACCTTCCACTTCTTACACAAAAAATAGTTTTTCTTATCCAGTTAAATGAACATAGTCTTTTCACATTACAGATCGGCAGTACTCATAACCCTAACGCCAACATTAACATTATCATTTTATTATTAGCTATGGCCACTAGCCGCTACCCTAACAGTGGGCAAAAATAATAACTGTTTTAATGATGGCACTAATTATGCACAGTTTTTCCCCAGAGTGTCTGTAACTCATAGAGGCCTGGCAGTTTTACAACTGCCTTGCCAAAGGGGTTTGAAAGAAACCATCAGGGGCTGTTGGTATAGGAGACCATCAGACAAAGTGCAACCACAACTTTGATCTCTGGAACTGTGGTTGCACTTTGTATAATTTTTCTTTGTTGTAACATCTCACACAACTTTCACATTTTGATTTGCATGATTACAAAAATGTCAGTCACAAAAAGCATTTAATAATCAACTATTGTTAATTATTTCATGGTGAGTATTGTACTTAATCCCAAGAATACTCCAGTTGACCTTTGGCTGATTTAATAACAACATGCAGCAAAGGAAGGATCACAACAGTGCATAATTAGATTATAAACCCACTGGGATTCCTTAAATGAAACACAATTCCAGCAGTGCATCATGCAAAAACTAAAACTTCTCTACACAGCGATGGTGTGACAAACCTGCAAAAAGGATAAAAGATTAAACAAGGCCTAGGTTGCAGGTAGGAACGAGACAGTGCAATTGGTCACAACTAAAGCGATATGTATTATGGGCGAGAGAGCCAATGATATCTCATCCTGTCCCATAACAGGCTCAGTGAAACCTTGAGATTGTTAACCTTGCTAGATTTCCACATCCGATCCATATGTGTTGGATTGTCTCTGCATATTTGTCTAAAGCTGAACACAGCCCTCTTCTTATTTCATGCCAGCTGGCTCTTTGGCATGCGCCTCCTCATCCATTATGAGCATCTGAGTCGTGGTTGATTGTTGCCACCTCACAGGCTTCAGACAACACTAAGGCAAAGACCAGCATTCAGACAAACCACAGACCTGAGACAAGGGAGACAGATAGGCTTAATAGCTAGGCCAATGCATCCTTCATTTATTAGGCTGATTAGTGGTTACTGAAAGCAAACAGCTCTGTGGTGAGTTGCCACAATGAAAAAAATTGATTTAGACCATATGTCTTTTGTAGAATTATCCCTTTCATATGCTACTGGAGTTTAAAATTACGATTCCTGAGCAGGGCAAATGAGAACAGAGCTGTCTTTTACTGTCTTCATTATGATTAACTTCACTTTTGGCTTCTGTGAGAAAAGGATAAATGTAAGCAGCAGGGTTGTAAAGAATGGTAATGACATCTGTGAGGCATGCAGAATGGAAACAGAATATTTTGTCAGATATGGGAAATATGAATAATGCAATTAATGGAAAGCTGCTGCAGGTTGCATGTCAAAGGCAGATAGCAAATTGCTAATTTGATCTACAGCGCGTGGAGCAATGTAGAGCAATATACGGCATATACATGCCATAGCAGATTGTTAAAGACTTCTCCCCATTTCAGTTCCATCTCTCAGAAGTTCATGGTTCTTCATTCATGACATTTAATTGGGGCATTCAGTCTGGATCATAAAGGTCACAAAGCAAAATTGATCTTAATTGGCTTGTAGTAATCAAAATGCTGTTATGTGCTAAATGAATGCTCTAATGTGAGCATTAAAACATTCATTAGCTTGAGAGAATGAAGGATAATTACCAAGGATGCAATTACTGGAGTGAGCACCAATGAAAGCCCATTTAAGCCTCCTTTCTAGAAAACACATATTTGATGGTGTGTCTGTTATCAGCAACTGAGTGACACTTACCTTTAAAATTCCAGTTGAACTACATATTATTATTAGTCTCATTATTGCTATTACAATTATTATGACTGTAGTTTTGTATACTTCATTCATAGACTTAAATTATAAGATAAAATAAAGGACATAAACATACAAACAAAAAACATTTAAGTAAGATGTAAAAGATCAAAACATAGCACGATGTTAACTTCATAAATGTAAATGTCACATAATATTTTTCCTAATCTTCTTGGGGAACTAATTTTTACATGTGACGAGGCATAGATTTGCTGTTCCCAGTGTAATTGGCAGCAAACATTTAAAAAGTGCCTCATGGCCTCAACTAATGTATTTCTTTGGGGACTAATGGGCTTTTAAGTGTACTCCTTTACCTCTAGCTTCACTGAAATGTGAATCTACCATTAGGGTACTCTACACTCAGCTAGGATCACTTCTGTGCGCAGCTACTCTTCTATGCACTAAATGATGATCTGTGCCACACTGCACTCTAATGTATAAAAGCTACTTTCAGGTGCTCCCTTATTCACAAGGGGTCACCACAGCAGATGGTGCCACATGTTTGATTTGGTACACCTGATGCAACCTCAAAGGGATTTGAGCCTCCTCCTGGTCTCAGTCCAGTGAACTTTCATTTGTTAGCTAAATATGTAAACCACTGTACTATGAAACCTCTCATGTGTAACTTATAAGTATTTAGTGTAATTATCCGTTGTATTTAAAGGCCCTTAGAAGTTTAAGGCCCAACTGAAAGAAGTGAAAAGACTACATTGTAAACTATTACAATTATATAATCCTGCTTGGTACTTGTTTTGGTCAGGATTTAATCTGGAGAAACTGACAGCATAGATGGAGGAAATTCCACAGTGTACGATCAAGTTAAAGCTAGTTAGTTGAGAAATGGACAAAAATATATTAAATCTCATTATTCACTGCATGAAGAAGGTACGCAACATAGCTGCTGGAAAAATTCCTCCCTCTTTGCTTAGCTCCCTCAAGTGCCGGAAATTAGTCCAATTTGAGCAGCATCTGCTCTGTGGGATCTTTGAAAGCACGGGCAATGACAATGGCCCTTTGGAACAAGGCTCTTTCCTTTTCTTAATTGCAGCCACATGTGTTGTGGGAAAGAGCCCCCTGCCTGCACCACTATAGACCTGGAAGACATCCAGATTCGCCCACACAGTCACCGAGCGTGCACAGCTAGCAGCAAACACACTCTAATTGCAAAGAGTGGAGCCCCTGGCTGGAGAACGGGTAGGGGTTAGTTGCCAGGATCCTGTGTTCTCGCTTAAGGAGAGCTAGTGCTTTCACATTTCAGCAATAGCTCAAAGTGGTTACAGGCCATTCAAAAAAGGCCAAATGGGGAAACAGTACACATGTAACATATTTTGGCTGAACCCAAGAGCCATCAGCTTCCAAGACTAATGAGTAGATGTGGAATCTCATTTAAAATCAGAACTGTCGGTGGATACTTAATTGTTTTGAATTAAAAACATTTTAACACCCCTCAGTGTTGTGGAAACGTGAACGCCATGGGATGATTGCTCTTCGAGGCACTTTTATTTTTAAGGTCATTGCTATTCTAACCAGACCATCTGTTCTTCTTATGTGTGTCAAAACTGGGCATCAAGTTATAGTTTCACGTGTTAAAACCATTTTTGGAACATATTACCTGCAGGTGATATTCAGTAAAGTATGCCTAGATTGTTAAAAGTAAATATCAAAAACTTTGGTTATGCCCATTGACCTCACTTTGGTCTTCCACTGGTATGGTTGGTAGTGCGAAGGACTGTCAGGGAAATGAGCCAAACATTACTTTGCATCAAAAGGGCAAAGCAACAGCGTTCCTTGCCCTGAGGGAGAACTTGGGTGTCAATTTTACTGATTTGAGACAGCCTTGGTAAGGCCTCCATCGCAGAAGACGTACGGCTGCCATGCTATTAAGCTGCCATCCTGCAAGGCTGGAGCATACACAAGGTCAGGGTGCAGATTTATGTTTGTGCCTTAGCAGAATGAACAGCGCAAGTGCTATCTAGGGTTTGGGGGAAATGAACCTTTTCATCACATTGATTTCCTAAAGCACCTGGAAAAAAGCTTTGTCAGCCGTTGGCATTTGGGTCTGATTGTGACAGATCTGGCCACATTCTAGGCCTCCAGCCTGGATTGGATTCTGGTAGTATGGTTTCCTGGCCATATGCCGTTTGAGTAATAGATAACCCCTGTCTTTGGGTTATTCAAACCTTTGTACATCTCATTCTATCAATATGTCATTGACCCATGTGTTGTGTAGTACCAGTGAATGTCTAACAAAAATGCATCAGTCATGACCATCTTTTATTCAACTATAAGTTGTTTGGCAGCTTTTGCGAGGGTTCAGCCTATCAGAACAAGTAATTCGGCTACTGACATTTAGATATATTTCAATTCCGAATAGTAATATGGTGTTGTGCAGAAGATACAGAAAATGAGCTGTATCCAACTTGGTCCTTTAAATGTCATTTGAAATTATCACTGGTCTGTACTGTACTTCGGTCACTGTTTGGTATTTAAACTGATAGCCTACATCTATTGAGTAGCAGACTTTGTTAAGAGGTTGGTTTTATTTCCACTACGTAATTTTTGCGAATAGCAGTCTTAAATTTAATTGTCAGAATCCAACAAAATTGTGGTTTACCAAAGAAATATAAAGAAAGTCCCCCTTGGAGTATAATAGAAATGATTGCTACTGCATTTGTTGAAAATATGTGTAAATAAGCCACTGTGGAGTTCTAAGGGTGCTAATGGTGCAGATTGGAAGGAGGCTAACTAATCACCATGGAGAATCAGCACTTTTAATTATTCTTGTCACCCGTGAAGAAACATAATTTCAAACTAATCGTAGCTGCTGTGGTAAACCACACATTATTCTGTATTTAAACACCCAGATTGTGTGCTAGACGTAATTTTAACCAAAAAACACCAGCTTTCTCTGACCAGTTCCCTTTTACATAACAACAGCAGACCATTTATCGTCATCTCAGAGATGTTTAAGGAGCGGGGGGGTTAAGAAGAAAAGTTGGCCTGTTTCTCCTGACTTTCCTCAGTGCGTTGCAGAGATAGAGGGATATGGGCCAGGGGAAGACTAGCACTGTATGTCATCTTGTTGAAAGCTTTGATCCTCCCAGCCCATACTGCCATATCTTTCAAGTTCCTGTACAGTGTTTGCTTAGACCCCATAACCTCTCCAATGTATCCATCCACCAAAGGGTTTGCTGTTTTCTGCCAGAGCCTCTGGGCATTTTCAGGCTCTGTAGTGAGGATGCTTAACTACAAAGAACATCAGGCAGCTTTGTTTCAGGATGCTGTTTGCTACAGTAAGACTATCAAATGTTTGTATTAAGCCCTGTAGCACATAATAAGCTTGCTGTCTGATGGCACAGACAGCAAGCTATTAAATTTTAATTCTTGCTTGAAGATTGTTTTTATTTACACAAGTCCTTATTCTTGGATTACAAAAAGTCTCTAGTAAGAAACTTCTTAGGGGCATCAATGTCTTTTTTTTCCCCTCTTTCGTTTTTTTAGCTTGTGTGATTACACGATAATGATCATCAAATTATATGGTGTAATTGAAGCTGAAGAACAGCATTGTTGATAATGAACTATGCCTGTGTAAACCTAATAACCACTTCACCCAATCTAATTTAATTGTGTATCACATGTATGCTGTGTATGTTTATCACTAAAATCAAATGGAAATAACACTGGTGATTAATGATTTTTATATGGATTTGCTCTTTATCTGATAGGGCAGCACATTACATTGGTCACAATGATTAAATCCTAATCAGCACCTATTCCTGCTGCATTTTGCCAGGTTTTGCCTGTGTAGTACAATTCAATAGAGTTCAAATTGCTTCAAATGAAAAAGGGTGCAGGGAAAGCGCTGGCCAAGCCTCGGGGGACTGAGGATTAAGAATGTGCAATTTATTCAATGAAGGGCACTTTCCTTCCTGCCCTCTGTGGTTGGTCGCTTGTCGGAGCAGGTGATTTTGAATTTGAAATTGTATAGAAGATGACATGAACAAGATCACCTTTTTAACTATAGATATGTTTCTATGGGTTGGTCAGGGTGCGATCTACCCATTGCTTTTGTCACTGCTCATGTGTACAACACAGTCCTATCAGTGCAAAGATTTGAAAACATGTCCATGTCAGTATTAAAATTTTGCCTTTTGCACTGTAACTGCTGCACGTCTCTGAGCACAAGCAGAGGCAGCTGCTAAAAGTGTAAATGATTACCCTCCAAAATATTTTAATCTCAGATTGTATTTTTTTTCTATCGCTACGCTTCAGTGCGTCCCATGGATGCCTACTGTATTCTCGTTGAATGCGAATAAGCCTGTCAGCCTAGAATGGAAATCAAAAGAAAATGTTTCAAACCACTGGCCACAGTATGTGTTTGCAGCATTTGACAACTATTAGAAATAACTGAAAGCACAGTGTATTCTGCCTTGTTCTGGTAAAGGTCATCTGAATTTCATAGTACCTCTACACGTTTGCTGCCCTCACTGAAATTCAGTGCGCATTTGCTCATTAGTTAACTGTACGTCTTCTTTCCTCTGCCCTCTATGACTCTTTGTGTCCTCCTTTCTTGCATAGCTCTGAGGGATCACAGAATTGAACTAGTTCGAGCCTCATCGCAGGAGCTCACCATCCGAATCAATGACGTCAGCCTGTCAGACGAGGGACTGTACACTTGCTCGCTCTTCACGATGCCTGTCAGGACCACCAAGGCCTTTCTCACTGTTCTGGGTGAGCATGTGCATTTTGGTGAAGTCTCCATAGGTGAATTACTTCTCAGAAAATAAACACCTGCACATGCTTTTAGGTTCTGACATTAAAAAACTGCATGACTGTAACATTGTCTGCTAGATGAAAAATAGTAATAATAAAGTTAAACTATCTTGTAAAGAAAGATTGATATCTGAAATAAATTATTTTTGTTGCTGTTAGAAGAAATCCACCTAGAATTCCCACTGAGATATTACTCAATGTGCATACAGTATTTTTTTAGTTGTTAGATTGTAGATTTACATTTCTGTGCACTGCAGGAGTGCCAGGACGACCAGAGATCACAGGCTTTACCAAGCCAGCAATGGAGGGGGATGTAGTCACTCTCACATGCACCACATCAGGCAGCAAACCAGCTGCTACCATCCGATGGTTCCGAAATGACAAGGAGGTCCAAGGTAAGTGTGTGGAGTGGATTTAAGAAGCCATTGTATTCTCATTGTACTCTCTGTCCATTTCTATCTGTTAGTAGGTGTCCTTACCGTCAACTCACTCCGGTGCTATATTTCTTTATGCTAAAATATTCATGCATTTTTCCCGTGGCTGTATTTCAATAGTTCTGTGAGTTGCATGGTGCATTATCAGCAATGCTATTGTACTTGGAAGCTGTTCACTAGCTAACTTTTATTGATTCTAATTAAAAGTTAACTGTAAATAAAAAAATTCTCTGCATTCAGTGTTCATTGTCATTCAAATGAAATTAAAGATGCATTCAGTCAGTCGATTCATAAAAAGCAACAGCATCCAATACAACAGTTCTTAAAAAATATAAAAATGTCAAATCTAACGTTTCTTCTTGGGCTTCAGTAAACAAAATTCCCAAAAATGCCATTTCCTTTGAAATAAAACAGAAAAAGAAAATTTTAGAAACCCATATGTTTGTGTTTTGCTGAATATTTTATACAGTATATCTAACATATTTTCACAAGCTTTTAAATTTCTTCTTTTGATTGAGTGACTCCTCCATAAACTGTACAATTACTGTATATTTTGATTTTAAGACAAAGAAGTTATAATTGACTGAATTGATCTATTGCATTTCAGCTTTTTCAGTCTTTTGCTAATTGATTGGCAAGGAAAACCAGTAAAGAAGGGCACAAGAATGTGTAACAATACAAACCTGGAAAGAGCAGATACCTAATTTAATCCAACTACCCCACTGAAACAATGCAATATCAGATGGTAAACCATGATGTGCAGTGATTACAATAAACCAGCAGAAGTTTTCAGTGGTTCCACAGAATCATACAAGCTTTCACTTTCTTGTACACTGCTTTCCAAACTCTTTGAAACTCTGCACTTTATGTTGTATAGCTTTTATCACCTTCTTATTTCTGGTTTTAAGAAGCACAGGGAAGACAAAAACATTAAGAAATAGGAGTGGAATGTTTTTCCTCAATTTGATGGCTGAGATATGCTGTTTGGAGCTCTTTAATGTAATGGAGCCTGCTGTGGAGGCTCAGTGTGACAGTTGCTCTTTATTGAAGATTTGCACCAGAGAGTTTTTTCTTGGTGGTTCTGTCTGTGTCTGGCCAACATGGCATGATGATTGATGGGAGAGGGGCTGGGATATGAAGTTTTCTTGTTGAAATGACATGCACGTAGATTCCTGAAAGGCTAGTGGAGAGCTGGCACACAGCATCACAACCAGACTTGCTGTCCGTCTCAAGATGCAGTGAGAGATGAGATGATATTTTTGTGCTTTATGTTTTAGAATGTACTTAAATCCTTAAAGCCTAAAAGCATATAATCTTAGGATATATGGACAAGTGCACATAAGCCGAGTATAAAAATGCAATCGAGCAGAGTTCAAAGAGTGATGCATGCAAATATCAGGATAATACCTTTTGCTGTGATATAAAAATTTAATACCTTATTGTTCACCGGGGTTTCACAAGCAACCATAAAGTGAAGATAAAATGAAAAAAATCCCATTATTTATATGTGATATAGAAAATGGCATTTAAATATGTAGAAATTGCGCGTCTCTAAAAAAGATCCTGTGCCCCCAGTCTGCCCCAAACTGGTATGTTGTATACAAATGTGCTTTTATTAGTTTTACTGGCATACAGTGGATTTTATTAAGTCGCTTGGGCAAACACATCAGGAGTGTTGCATCTCCAAGTCAAAGAAAAAAAAAGAACATAGCAGAGACTGGAGGGCTTGACTTAAAAACTTCATTTCCATGTCAAAGTGTCAAAGACAGGGAATGTCAATCAGTGCTCTGGATCCAAGTCTTTTGTAGGTGTGGCTTTAAAGCTTTCTTTAGCGAGTATGTTGTGGGAGCAGCATGTTTTGCCATTGGTTCTTCTGTGGAAGATCATTGCCGCCAGTGTCTGCTGTCAGTCAAATCTATCCCCACTGGGGGACCAGTCTACAAAGCTCTAAGACGACAGAAGGTGTAATAGCAAAAACATGTCATATTTATTTCATGCTCTGATGATTTGTTTTTCGACAATTTATATTAGAGGCACACAGCATTACAAACCTCAAAATGCAACTGTCATCTAGTGTCAAATAATTTGTTTACAGAGTATAGAGTCATACAAGTTACTTGTGTCGCTGAATGACAGCTAGACTTCAAATTGTAATCTATTGAGAAAAAACCCCACCCACTGTTACTCTCTTTGCATACACAAAGTTATCCTTTTTCCACAGCGGTTTGAGATAAATTGAAATTTTCTATTTGGCATATTAGACACTTAAATTGTCCAGCTATCCTACAGTACAGTTCGACAATACATTTCTGTCCTCTATTTTAAATTAGTGCTCGCTTCTTGTTGAGCAAGTTTTACTCATTTCTTATCCATATACCTTTCTTAGTATACAAACAGTGTCTGCAGCAGCGGTTGCTGTAGGAAAGAGCAGGGATTGCAATTTCTAGCCTTCTTGTGGTATCAGGGATATATTTGTATAATTGTGCTATCGTCTTACTGACAAAAGCTGACAGCCCAGTAGTACACAGTGAAATGTATATCTATCATATCAGTTTCATCTTTAGTCATTTATTTATTCATTTTGTCCCCTTTCCTCTACTTTCCCCATTCCTCTCACAATTATCTCACAAGAGCTCTGACAAGGAAGCAGTTACCATTTTTTTAATACCTGTGGCCATCAAGGCTGTGTGTCGCTTCATATACTGAAATATGTTTCCTATATAGCCAGTGTCTCACTGCCTAAAGTAAGATATGTTTTAAGAAAAGTGTTTAGAGTTATTTTCAGTGCTTTTCCTTAAGTCCAACATTAGACCTGACTGCCTTTTTACTCATTACCAGTGTTGGTCAATTTAATTACTAATTACTGATTGCTTCTCCAAAAAATTAGTCCTCTTACTTTACTGATTACTTATTTTCAAAAGTAATTAATTACTTAGTTACTTTTCAAAAACATGATATACAGCCTGAATACGTAATAAAGCAATAGACCTTTCAGCCCAATTCTATTTTTTATGGATAATCCATCATATAAAATTGAATCGAATGAAAAGCCTCTTTTAATTTTATGCACATTGCATTAAGCAAAAATATAATTATATGCAACAGTCTTTGACTTGAAGAAATTCTTTAACATTTAAACCTATTTTCTGCATATTCCAGCATATAAAATAAAATAATGTTTTGTGTTCACACTCACTCTTTCAAATAGACCCAAGTAAAACACAACAAAAAATAAATAAAATCCTGTCGCTCATAAAGCTATTTTCACCTGTTTAGCAGGAGTGGGGCCGATGGAGGTTTGCAGCGGTCATGTCAGTGGAGAATTCCGGGGGTTTCTCTGTGAATTTCACATTCCCGTGGCAGCTTGCTAGGTGCTTGCTCAGATTTGAAGTTTACTTTTTAACGTCACATGTGCTTACGTCACTGTCATGAGACTCTCTCACAAACAAAATCACAACGGTTTAGTAACGCAGTAATGCAGTGTGCTTATGGGAAAGTAACAGTAATCTAATTACTTTTTGAAATAGTAATCCCTTACATTACTCATTACTCGAAAAAGTAATCAGATTACTTGTAATGTGTTGCTGCCCATCTCTGCTCGTCAGAATGTAAAAGGATATAGTACGTATACCTACCCATCTAAAGAGAGATGACTTGAGAACAGGCTACATTTTTTTTTGCCCCAATTTTAATATTAATTGGTGTTTTTACATTTTTAATCACTTATGATATTAGATTAGATTAAAATCGCATTTAAAGACAGAGGTCCTTAGCTAATTAGCCCAGTTGTGTGGTGGAACCAAAATACAGCATAACACCCTCACATTCCCAGTCACTCAGAATTTACACTCTGAGCTAGAGGATCACTGGCTGTCAGCCGGCTGCAGTGCCCTTCCCAGCCAATTTCCAGCTACTGTCTCACTCCTCCTCTTGTAAGACTACCTATATTCTGTCTATATGTTCTGTGCTATTCACTAAATAGCTGAATGCATCAATATATAAACTACCTAATAATATTTTTAGCGCATGTCTTGCACACAGTGTGACAAAATAATCTGTAAAAGGAATGTAATTAGTAAAAGTATTAAAAGTAAAACCAACAATCACTACAGACTGATTTGTGGCCAGTATTTGTTATTTGTGCATTTTAACTATAAATTTTATAACTTAATTTCACCCTAACTGTTTGGTTAGATGTACAGATGGATGGATGAATGCTCATGTTTGGCCAATTATTGATTGATCTTTGATCCAGTAGTGCAGCCAAATTATACACTTATTTACACCGAGATAATCCAGTACAGAACAGGCTCAGCTGTCATGGAGCACTACTTGTGTAGACTACACCTAAGACAGGAAGTTCAGTGACACCAACGCACACCTACTCCAATTTAGAATCACCAGTTGACCTAACATGCTTGTCTGCGAGAGGAAGCCAGAGCATGATAACGGAATCAACACAGGCACAGGGAGAACATCCAAACTCCACACAGAGTTTGTAAGGTGAAATTACATTACAAACATGTAATCAATCAGTGGATATTAAACTGTGTAGTGTCAATGAATATAATGTATACGAAAAAAAGGACATGTTACTTCTGGTTGGTGGGCACACATGGCTTCTCTACATTTCCATTGTTGGGGCTTATTTACTGCTATCCTAAGCTTGAGCAAAATGGGTAACTCAGGTAGCAAGCATTTGGCTCTGGAGGAATGTCACAGTTTATCTGTTCCAGGCAGGGTCAAAGTTTAAATTCTTCCTTTATTTAAAGGTTTACTAAAGTTTGTCTAAGTCTATATATTGGCCCCAGGCCTGTGTGTCATGGGAGACACCACCAAGAACATTTCCCAACAACCCACCACTGAGGATCACTAGACCACACAAGCCTTTCTGCTACAACAAGGCTCGGATCCAAGAAAGTACTTGGATCGGGAATAGCCACTTGGGTGGAGGCCCCAGGGACAATGTGAGACGTGCAGAAGGGATTAGAACTCCCAGCTAGCCTGAGACTCACTAGCTCCCTCCGAACTAACTGGAGGGAGTTGCTGGAGAGACAAGAATACCTGGTCATCTCAGGCCTCTATTACAGCTGTGACCCTGAAGTGAAAGAAGTATTTTGGAGAATGAATGAGAATGAAGAAAGGAAAACACCAAAATAAAATGATGACTCCAAAAGCCCCCCAAAAAAGCTGAATTTGAGTTAGTACTATAAATTACTTCATTAGCAATTGAATAGAGAAAAGTAGTCACAGAGTAAAAGACAAGATCAGTCCAAGTTCAAGGTTCATCTGCCTTTAATTTTCCAAGATATACCTCAGCAAATCAGTTAAGGTCAGAGAAAAACACCAGAATCCTGTCACCGACACACTTTCTTGTTAAAACAGACACTGCTTACAGGAGTGCCTCCAGTTGCCTGAATACAGCTTTACTGGCCTCTTGGGGTACTTGTTCAAAGCAAGCACAATTGGGCACATTCCCATTCTTACGAAAGCTACCTTAGCGTGTTCTCTGGCAATGCTAGCAGCCGCCTTAAAAGAGACTGACAGTTCCTCTGTTGCAACCCTGATGCTGTAGGCGACTTGATGAATGAGAGAAAAAGCTGGAGAGATTTGCGCTTAATGCCACAGAGGCGCTTCCCTTTCCCCTCCTGTACTCCAGGGCAAAATCCAAGGCATCTGACTCTCAAATATAAGGCCTCCGACTTTCCTCTTTGCTCAAATCCTATGTGATGCTTGGATTTTTTATTTTTTTTCAAAATCTTGACATTTATGATGCACTCTGTTGCTCTGTGCTTTGCATTCTTATTCTTAGCGTTATTAATTTCAGTTTTGAAGTTTGACTTTTTAACATTTGTAGGCTACTCTGCAGTACATTAGGATTTTGTCAGACCATTTCATGAAAAATGGAGTAGTGTGGCACAAACAGAATAGATTAACCCAAAATGATGATGCTACGGGTAATCTGGGTTTCACTGAAAGGAGCTTTTAGTGTTTAATAGACCAATATCAGTGTGTAGGTGTGTGTTTCTGAAGGAGCTGAGTGAGCACACACATATGTATTGATTGACTCTGGTTTGCTGTGGATGGCAGGCAGTCCAGGGGGAGATGGTTGGAAGTATGTAATGTGAGGAGGATGCAAGGAGGTAGGGGTGAGTGGGGTAGCATCTCCAAAGAAAAGTCCTTCTGAGGCCATTGTCAACTAATGTCTTGTTTAGATCCAATAGCCTTGTACAGCAGATTCTAGGTGCCACACTAAGTGCTGACAAGAGAGTAGCCACAAACGGCAATGAAAGGCTTTCAATTACAAGTTAAAAGGCATAGCTTAATGAGGACAACATCACAGGGCAGGGGAAAAATGAAAACAAATTGAGATAAGTTGAAGGCGAATGTTTTGGTATGACAAAAGACAAAAAAGAAAGAAAGAAAGAAGAAGTGTCACTAAAACTATGGAAATCTATCACATACTACTGAAGGGGGGAGCATGCCTGTTTGTGCTGGCTGGGATGTCTGAGAGATGGTCCTAGAGGAGCAAACACACCCAACCAACCGAGTCAACTCTCATATTGCTCTCCCTTCACTATTCACTCTACTTTGACTTGACTTTCAAAGGCTAAGGATTCTTTCCCTCAAAGGAGATGCAGAGAAAAACAACAACAACAACACTGCAGCTGTCTATGTCAGAAGAGCAACATCTTGAAATAAATTTCTTTCTTTTTTTTTTCACAGTTTTTCAGATTTACAAGATGATTTTTGTTTTGCTCTGCTTCTTTCTCCAAAATAATTTTCCTGTAAAAGTCTTGCTCAAAAGCTAGAACTGCTCCCCAAAACTATAAATAATTCACAAGTACATTTCACCCTGGTTCATATTCTGATTCCCCACAGGCACTAAGGAGGTGAACGCTACAGGAAAGTCATTCACAGTGAGGAGTAGCCTTCAGTTCCAGGTGGACAAGCGGGATGACGGCGTTGCCTACACCTGCAGTGTGGAGCATGTGTCTTTGTCCAAACCCTACATGACAACCGAGGTCCTGGAGGTCCACTGTGAGTGGGGTCATAGCCTGTAAAACTGGGTAGATTAGCATTGCTTAGATTAGCGAAATACATGGATTGAGATTACAGTTATGTGTCCAGGTTTAGTCTTGCATTTGTTCTGGATTAATATGGGATTATCTTGCAGGTAAGGGATTAGTGCCTAAACAGAATAGTGATATGGGCTATAGCTAAGAGCTGCTCAGTAGGCACAGAGCTAACTACTGTTGCATTTTGTGTTAGAACCACTTTTTTGTGTTTCTTTTTTTGTCTCCTCTTTGCAGATGCTCCCCATCTGGAGATCACACATTCACTCATCATCCCACAGGAAGGCCAATACTTCAAACTGGAGTGTGTTTCCATAGGCAACCCAATGTAAGTTGAAAAGCATTTACAACTTCAATTTCATATCAGCACAAATAGTGCAAATTGCACCTAAATGTAATTTGTTTTGTGCCTTGAGATGACTTGTGAAAATGAATTGAAGTGAAATCAAATTCATTATGGTTTGTTATTGTTTGGTTTTTTTTATCACAGCAGTTTATTCAGTTGCAGTTAAATACATTTTCTCAAATTCTTTCCCAGACCTGAGCCAGTGGAGTGGTCTAAAGATGGAGGAGAGCTGCCAGACATTGAGCGTATGATTGTGGAGGGAAGGGAACTTACCATCACTACGCTAAACAAGACAGACAATGGCACATACCGGTGTGAGGCCAGCAACCATCTGGGGTCCAGTAGTGCTGAATACATACTGTTTGTATATGGTGGGTACTTCAGTAAGGGCTTTTTTTGTTATGCTTTATTATTTCCCTTTGTTGCTGCTTACAAAGCTTTGCAGGCAGTTGTGTTCAAACTCAAAGGCAGATGGTGTTCATCACAAAAATACAAACCCAGTCCATGTCAAAAAAGCGAGAGTCAACTGGTAACTGTAACTGTTGAAAACAACCTGTTTTAAATATGAACGATTTTTCAATACAGGGAAATCAATAAATTGATCATCTTTGCAATATCAGATAATCAGTTGTTCAAAGTGGAGACACTTTAGGTAAGGAGTTTATGGGAAGGGAACTTCACTTCAATCATTTAACAGTCATTGATTAATAATTTATGAATTTCAGCTATCAAGGTCTCCACACCCACACATCTCTTTGAACGATAAGCAGATAGACTTAATGAATGGATATTTGGATAAGCATAAATGGGTAAACATGTTTCAGATCTTTTTCATCAAAAATAAATAAATAAATAAATAAAAATCAGATTTCCCTGAATAATGTTTGGCATTAATTTGAATGCCATCTAGATTAAATTGGTTTTAATATTTCAGACACTTTAACCACACGTTTTAACTACTATTACTACTGCAACATATGTTGTCGATATAATGGCTGGCAAATATACAGTTTTAACATTCAACACAGCCATTGGGTTCAATGATTTCAGTGTATTCTAACATGGCCATTAAGTCTACAACCATGAATAAAATGACTCACCAAAGTTGCTCAGCTAAGATGTCTGTATATTTCATTAGAAAACTGATGGTAGCTCACAACAGAGAAGGAAATTTAATTATGTGAAAACACAATGATGTATAAGGTCAACACGACACTTTACATTCTGCTTCCATCTGGATCATCAGTTGTCATTCGCAGATGACACACCGTCTTCAAATGACAACCTGCACATCCTCATCAGCATGTTGGCTTTTTAGTTTGTGAGACAGCTCTAAAGTGAGACATGTGTTTGTAGTAAATGAGATAAAATATTTATTATTATATAAGAAAAAAACTTGCTATATGGGGGTTTTATATTTCTGCCAATTAGCAATAAAAGATGGTGCAGAAGAGAGTAGATTGTGACTTGCAACAGCTAAACGGTATTATTTGACACAAAGGTGGCATAATAAGAATGATAAGTTAAGTCTGTTTAAATATCATCAATTTGCAGTTCAAATATATATTTTCTTTATAAGAATAATACATATCGTGCAGCACAGAGATCTGTAGTCATGCAGTTTTCCACTCCATGTACTCAAGAATCCACTTTCAAATTTCGCCTTGGCACTATGCAGGATAACACAGTTTACCTCACTACTTATCACGGCGTGGGTTTAGCTTCTGGACTCTTCCTGTGAGGAAACAGAAAAAAAAGTGTTAAGGATGCAGAATTTAGCTTCCAAGTACAGCCTGGAGGAGAGATAAGTTAATCCCGAGACAGTGAAGGGGTTGAGAGAATAAAGACGACATGGTCCAGAAAATGGTTCGTTAAGGCCTCTGCAGCTCATGTTTGTAACATTTATCAAATACGGCTAAAAATAAAAAAAATAAAAAAGGCAGAAACAAGAGCAGAATATTGCAATTCAACATGGATTTATTTGTTTCCACTTTTGCCAGCTAAACAGTGCCACTGGAGATTGTAGTTTGTTTGTGAACGACTTATCGCAGCACAGACTTATTCAACTCCCGAGCAGTTAGTGGATGTACGGCAGCTTTTCTGTGTGATTTTTAAAAGCAAAGGCTTTGGGGAAAAAGAAAGCTCTTCATTGGGAAATATGAAAAGAAAAGGATGACACATTGGTCTTTTCAGCTTTTGTTATCTTGTTCTCCCCTTTCAGCATGTTCATTGAACAGGGGTAGGCAGTGATGCCAGCCTAGTGTAGATCACTGTATCACCCTGTCATATCTAGACACCATGTGCTGATCTAAGGTTTCCTTCCTCGCATAAGATGTTTTTTTTTTTTATTTCAAACCAGAAAAAAGAGAAATTTGTTGAACTAACCCAGGTGTTTAGAATTATACATACCCAGAGGGTTTCTAGCTTTTGTAATACTGGCTTAGGAAATAACAGATGCGATAACCCTCAGCATCCATCTTTTACTAAATACAAAGGTTCTGGTAGGGAGGATTGAGAAATTGAGTTGAGCAGGTAAAAAGATGCGTGAGACGGGCTCATTTCCACCGATGATGACAGTCATTTTTCAGGGCTACAATGTGTCTGGCTGGATACTTACCAGGTCTCTTTGGATCGTCTCAGCCTCTAAACCTAATTTGCTAATGACAAGAGAGATGAGAAGCCATAAATGTCATCGGTCCGAAGCAATATATCACAGACTGCAATTATATCCTTTAATATACTGCATTAAATAAAGAAAAAGAAACACTGTATTAGATGACAGAGCGGTAGTAACAGATACTAGTTTAATTAAATAGAGTCTGCATACATCTGTGAAGCTGCAGACTCACTCATGCCTTTTTCTCTCACATTTCATTGTGATTGATTGTACATTTTCACCTCAACAAGCATGACACATTGTAAGTTTCACTTTTCCTGTGTGTGCTCTATTTACCAGCCAATCATCAGTTGCTTGAAATTTTAACAGATGTAAAAGTCCTTCGACTCCTTCATGCGTGACTCATCTTTTACGGGGTGATACTGCTGAAAGACTTTACTGATTCAGAGCTTGATTCATTGTGCAGCCCTTGTATTTTAACGTCAGTTCATTGTTTTCTTCTTCTTCTTCTTTTCGCTTGTATTTACTAAGGTGAAGTAAAGTCATGAATTAAGCTGCACCAGCCACACACAGTAAATCACCGGGGCTGTGTGACTGTCCTGTCAGTTTCTCACACCGACGCCTGTGCTCCTCAGAGTGGTTTGTTTTCGCTTCCAGTTGTTCCTATTTTTGCTTAGCAGACGTCATCGCCTTCGTGCCTCCCTCTCTAGCCTCAATCCTTGCAGTCTTCTAATGCCTACATTGCCACATTAAGCATAGGCAGTCACAGCTGCGTTCACTTGCACCCGCTGTGTGGCCCCGCCTCCCCTGTGCTCCACGCACTCACAAACGTGACAATGAACACACGGCTGATGATTGATGAGCTCAAAACCAGGCTTTGAGCTAGAAAGTAACATTGTTTCATTTGATGAATTCAGTCCGCTATCCTTTTCACTTTCTATTTGTTTGTTTTTTTCTAACAACGCTGTTACATATGGATCATTTTTATTACTGCATGTGATTAATTCTGTTATTGATAGCTGATGTTATGCAGATATTGTAAAAATAACAAACCCCATTGTGGAGTTACTGCTGGTAAACCACTGCATACATAAAAGTCCAAACAGGAAACATGAGTGTTCATACTTTTGTTCTTGGGCTGAAAATGAACATTATTGAAAATTATTAATGATAATTAATAACAATGTTCAGCAAAACCACATGCTTCATGTCACTATTTCACTCTGTCTCTCCTAATGGAATTACTGTTGCAGTGTTTGTGTATTATGACTTTGACATACTGAAGCACAAGAGCTGTCTGCAGGTAAAACATGGCTGCATTAAAAGAAAAAACAAGTTTGTTGGATGAGAAACTGCAAACATTACTTAGACTTAGGCTGTGCTTTGTTTTGGTAATAACTCGCATTAAAGGTGCCGATTAAATTTTCTTGTAAACAAACAAAGGTTATATTATGTTCCTGCAAAAACACATCGTTTTTAACTTTGACTAATATTTTCTTCCTTGTAAAATATTTGCTCCATATTTATCCCCTGGCAGTACCTTTGCAAACGCAATTTTTGGTCAGTGGAACAGCTTAAAACTGGCAAGAATGTGTAATGACAGCATGTGCTAAAAAAGGAGGGATAAGGAGCCTTATATAGTAACCAGAATATTAATCACACAGCCACACACACACAAACACAATGTGTGTGTATGATTTAAAACATTTAGGTGATGTTTGAACGTTTAAAGCAGATTCAAGTTCCCTCAGTATTAACACAATGGCACGCAGTACAAAAGAACTTGTTTTTCCATGTATCTCTACTGCTCTATGCATTCAGATGGTTTGGGTTTTTGGCACAGGTTTTGACATATTTGTCTCTCAAATATTCTGCATATGCCTGCCATAAAGAGTCCTGGGTAGTAGAATTTTATTTGTAATGTATAAGCAGGAAAAAAAGAGCAATATGCTCCAATGTAGATGAATTATTAAACAGGTACCAGTTAACTTAAAATACCCAAACCATCTGAATACTTGTGGAGGTTAGTGAGATAGTATTTGACCAATTAAGAAACTACGCACTAACTCTATACGTATACAACTTTCTTGTGCTGCTCTCTAAATCAACATTTATAGCAAGTCCAGTTAGGCATGTATTTGGCTCATGTGACAGCAAGCTGTGCATACCTGCACACTGTCAAGTAAACCAGAACCATGGAAATCTCTTTGTGTTTTCCTTTGAATTTTGTGGTCACCTTTTTTATCACGGTGTTGTTCCCCTCGTCTTCCCTTACTGCTGTCACTGTCTTCAACCATGGCAACAGCCAAAGACTTTCCAGGGCCTACAACAGGTAAATATCCCAGTAGATGATCATTTCAAGCCAGATTTAGAGTGTGTGATCTGGATCTGGCTCTGGGTCAAGACACATCACGGCCTCACCCAGCATGAGCCAAATCATCACCATGCATGGATGCTCGCTCAGTCGTTTTCTCTCCAGCCATGTCACAGGCTGCATAAGTTATCACACAATATGTTTCTATTTTGCTTTGTCTTTGCCACTGAAATAGATGGTTCTCAAAGGACCTCTGCTGAAGATTGTATTTGTGACAGTATCTATGTATATGATCCTGTGGTTACAGTAAATCAAAGTCAAAAATTATCTTTCAAATATCTGATCACAGAGCTCTTGAAAAGTATTTGTTCACCATTATTTGTAGATTTGATCTAAGTGCAGAATTTCTGTTTGCAGGAATTTAGTTATTTTTCTTTGTAAGACATTTTGAGTGGGATTGTGTCTAATTAATGCAACATGATTAAAACAACTTATCTCTCTTAATGTAACTGAACATCAGATCAGGCAAAATATGACCGACGAAATTACTCTTGTCCCTGTGTGCTCTTGAAATGACCTTTTGTTGTTGAATGTAGCAACTTACATCCTATCTTATCTTTTATGCTGCTTTATTTTAGTTTGTTCCAGAGCAGTAACTACTGTATCTACACAATCAGTACCAAATTCTGTTAAAAATGCACCAGCCAAGTGTGATATAAAAGATTCCTTATGCTCCTTGCTGACAGTGCTGTACAGATCATTCTATCCATTAACATGCAACCAAATTCAGTTAATTCAGATCAAAAAGAAAAAAAGAAAATTCAGAGTTTGCAGTGCCTGCTTGTGAGTTGATGAAACAATCGTGGTGGTCTATTCTGCATGGAGTTTAATAAACTGCATGTTGCACAGCTTCATCCCTCTTTTTTTTTGAACGTCCCGCACGCTGGGATTTTAAAAATGAGGGTTGCATTCGTTACCAGCAGAGTATAACAAGGTTTGTAGAAACATCGCCGCAATCATTTCCCAGGGTCACTTTGGAAAACCGAGCACAAGCCATAACCATTCATCAGCCTGAGATAATGAGAGCACACAAGGTGCACAGTAAAGACACAGCCACTCACAGTTTATCACAGGATCGGCACAAAGGCATGCTCCTGCCTGGGAAACCCTCTGTCTGCTTTCTGCCCAGAGGATGCACAGTGTTAAATAACGCTTATTTAAAAACCTAGTCCTGAGCATTATGAAAGTAGTGATAGGAAAACAGAAACATGACAGACAGAAAAAAGGAGGATAATGCCAAGCTTTTTAATTGTATAGAGATTTGTGGTATTTCCTATGATTACTTTTTTTTTCTTTTTTTAACAACTGTTCAGGTACTTCAAAGCAGTCGTTTCAGGTTGTTCTAAATCTGACAGAAGCTCATCTGCTACTCTTGTGCTTTGTTCACAAGTGTAAAAGCAACATCTGGATTTTTTCAGGTTATTTGCAGCAAAATACCTTTAATGCTGTTTAATAAACACCTACAGCTGCATTGACAGTAGAAGCTTGTGGCTGTTAAGTTATCATTCCTCCACTTTTTCTCATCCCCTCTCTCTATCTGTTGTGTTTCAGATCCTAATGCTTTAGGACAGCATGGACCTGACCACGCTTTAATCGGCGGAGTTGTTGCAGTCGTGGTCTTCATCACCTTGTGTTTGATAATAGTCCTTGGACGATATCTGGCCAGACATAAAGGTAAAAGAGGTCTCCTGAACTGCTCTGAATATCACTTTGCTTGTTTGCAGTAAATGAATATGTCTTGCACTCTCTAGCTGGTGGATAACTTGCTTTTTATGTCTGCAGGGACATATCTAACACACGAGGCCAAAGGAGCAGAGGACGCCCCTGACGCTGACACAGCCATCATCAATGCTGAAGGAAACCATGTGCATGCAGAAGAAAAGAAAGAGTACTTTATTTAGACTTCTTTTTCCTCACTTCTTTCATTTCATGACAACCTATGACAGCAGACGTGCAATTTTAAGCTGTCTCAGACTCACTGCATTGTCTTTTTTAATTTATTGTTCTGTCTTTTTTAGAAAGCAATCATGCTTAGATATGCTTGTTTTCAAAGCATTCACTAACAAAATAGCCTTCGTCTTTTGTAATATAATCCATGTACAATTGGATTATGTCATTTTCAGTTTTTCTGTGCCTAAATGCTGTACATTCTTCTGCATTTCTTTCATTGCCTGTATTTTTCTCTACTCTTTCTTACGTTACCTGTTATACAACCTTTTGCAGATTTTTAAAATTCAGAAGTAACAACAGTAATTTTGTTCTCCAACTCAACTCTCAGCATTTGAAAAGGTTTTTCTGTAGGAGCAAAATATATTAAATACATCAGTTTTTAAGGATTACATGATTGGCTTGGATGTTTCCCGGAGCTAACCCTCCTCAGACATGCCGCACACGTTTAGAGCATCTTAAAACAGATCAGATACTTTAACAAACACAAAGCAGAAGCACAATCTGAGTGATTGTCTCGAGATGAAATAATCGCCCTCTTAGCATTGTCTGTATATTCCTGCACTGATTTTTTTTTTTTTCCTTTTTGTTACACTGTTGATTTATAACCAACAAAGAACAAGTTAGAAAATTAAAGCACAAAGTCTGAGGACTATTACAGAGGGGAAAAAACATCAACTGCTTTTTGTCTCAGGATTCAATATGAGTCTAGATGGAGAGATGGTGTCAGACATGTGAAGAAGACTTCAGTTCAATCGCAGTTATTGTCGTGGATGAAAAACGTTTCCTTTTTGTTGCCGATTTGTTGTAATATCCAAACTGAATGAGTGGAACCTTGTGTCGGTTCATTATTTATGTTGAGTTTAATTGAACAACTATGCTAAATGTGTGGATATTGCTGTAAAATACTTTGCTAACGTGAATATTAGTGACCAATATTGTTGAATCTTGGGATCCCTGACACATTACAGTTTGTATATTAGCATATACAGCATTTAACGGTACTTCACAGATCTTTCATGTTTTTCCAATTTTGTTTTGCCCGAAGGCATGTAAATAATATGTAAGTATTCAATTTTAGTAAAAGGAAGAAAATCTCTGGTTATAGCCTTTAATTTCAGGTCTTATGAGTTCCAGTCACTTCGAGGACAGCGTTTTCACATTTTTGAAGATTTCTTCAAACAGGGATTCTAATGAAATGCTTAAAATGTTACAAAAAAAAAATCTGGGTAAAAATATATGTATTTATTATTATTATGGCTGATTGACTTTCTTATATGATACTATATTGATTGATATTATTGCTGTTATTATGAAGTAGTTGTCTGACATTAACTTTTCCATTTTTATTTCTGTAAGTTCTCATAAAAGAACAATACAAGGATCACCGTTATGGCCTTTGAGTTTGCTGCAAACAGTACTAATGACATGTTTAGGCATTGGTGAATCAAACATCCCCTCACTGTATATAATCACTGTATCAAAGACATTGAACCACATTGCCAATGCTCATACATGTTATTTTGTTAGTTCAGTATGATGCTATAAATAACTCATTTTGTACAGATTTAAATTGCTGTAATTAATTTGCTTTTTATGGGGGATGTGTGAGGTTTGCTTTTTTTCACAGTATTGAATATTCATTTTTCAACTATGCCACTGTAAAATGAAAAAAAAAAAAAGATGCGAAAAAAGAGAGATGAAGTGCGGATTAAAAAATGAACAACTTGAAAGATGTCCTTTTGTTGTTACTAAATTTGCACCTTGAAGCGCCTTGCCGTGATGAGTTGGAGCGCTATTACCTGCACTCAGTGAATCAGTCCACGTAGCTGCCGCTGAGCGAGAGAAGCATATGTGGTAGGCAGTGCTGTGACTTAAGTTGCACTATAATTGATATTCTATACTACTATAGTAACTGTTAAGTATTACTTGCCTTTAGTGTTAATAATATATGCAAAGTGTCTGACTTGTAGAAAGATTAAAAATCCATGAAGCTCCTCGGGAAGATTGCCCGAGGCATTTAGCTTCCACTCATGATTTGTGCATTAATACAGGGCGACAAAAGGAACACTTAAGTCTTCCCAAATTCCTCCGTGTCTCAGTGGACTTGAGTTTGTTATGCTTCAAGTGGCTTCAGGAAGCTACTCGCAGACACCCACACAGCAGGCTGCTGTTGCCCTTGTTTTAACAAATTAGACAGGAAGTAGGTTGGGTTCGGTCAAGGATGCTGAAATGCAGTTGATTGCTTTAAAAGTGAAGAAAAATTCTAATACTTGAGATGAAACTTTATTTAAGCCAGTAGCCAGAGAAAGATGAAATAGATATTCTTTTTTTTTCGTAGTTTTAAGAAGCTGTTACAGTTGAGACAATTGTAGAGTTAAAGCATGTGCCACAGATGTTGTGTTTACTTTTGTGAAACATAGAAGAGTCGTATAAATCACAGATATATTAACTGATTGATTGATGTGCGTTACCGCCATTCATGTTCACTTAATTACTGGAAACAGTCATTTCTGTGGGATAAATATTTACTATGATATACATGAAACCAAATGATATGCCTTTGAAATACCCTGAATATAAGCAACATATATTATTACATATATCCATATTATTTATTTAAATATGGCTCAATGTATATCTGCAGATGAGAATTAAAAATTCAGCACCCTACCAAATCTACACTGAAACAAATTTTCATTTTCATAGCCTACATTTAGTAATATATAACAGACAGCGTGCCGTAGCAATTTAGAAAAATACAAGAAGACACCTTTAATGGTCCATTATCACTGCTTCAGTGACACAGATGTACTCTTGAAATGTGAGGACGAGACGATAGCCTTGCACAGATTACTGAGCTCATATTAAATGTCTCAGCATCCTTAAAGGGAGATCTCGTTCCAGGACACAGGACCCAAGTCATTACGATCCTCTATTCTTTAGCTCCCATTGACCTTGAGCATAATGTTGCTTCCCAGCAGACTAATGTTGCTATTATCAACACACTGTCCGACCAACCATCTGCCTGCTTCACACAACGCCCGGCTCCCCCTCTCCTCGCACACAGACGGTTCCCAATGCTCACTTCATAATCATTACCACCAAAAGCCCAGCCAGTTCAAATAAACATCAGCTCCCACTATTGCACCCCTTCACATTATTAAAAGCTCAGTGCTTCATTAAGCTATGTAAATTGAGATAGACTGTCTTGAATAATGCCTGGCAGAAAATAATGCTAAAAATCCATCATCATTTAGTAACTGGATATCAAGAAGGCAAACATTTATGTGTAATAGTAAATTGTGAGTTGGGAAATGGATTTTCGCTTTACCCTTGAAATGCGAGACCCATACCCTGGGCAATGTAACAATCACAGCATGACCTCTGAGGAGGCCTTGTAAGTCTTACTAAACTGAAGAAACTGATCCCCACTGTACCCTGTAGGCAGGGTCCATATCAGCTCACAATAAGCGCTTATCATAGCAGAACAGAAGTGTCTGACAAAATTCTTCAGGGACAAACGGATATCTTAAAAACACAACACTTAAACACATTGGGCCTACATACTGATTTTAAATGTCAAAAGTTATTCCTTTAGTTAATAGTCATTACAAGTTTCATTTGTGCATTTGTGTGTTATTCATGAGTGTTAAGCTTCTCTTTCTTTTTTTCTTCGAGTTTTATTATCAAGGCTCTGGAAGAAAAGTAAAGTTTTTACAAAAACATGAGCCCCGCTGCTGTCAACATACTTTTTTGTTGTTGTTTTTTTCCTTTTCATTACACAATTCTGCTGTAGATTAGTGACAACTGGCAGAACCATTGAAACAAGGGGCATAAAAAGCCCTCCAACCATAGCACAAATAATGGTCCTTCTCTTGGATTAACAGTACAACGTTTTATGCAAAAATAACAGTTATTTCACTTGTTTTCACTATCCAAGCATGTAAATTGCCTTGTGTAATTCACAGGGCGATTTGCGTAGGAAGCAAAAGGATAAAAGGATTTCAAAGATGAGGTGTGGTGCAGTATGCTTAACAGAGGTGATGGAGAAGTGTTTGTCCTCTGGATCATGTTTTTAATTACAGATTTAAAAGGTATTAGTGATTCTGCAAAGTAGCCTGCTGATTCATGCAAACATTTAGTCAGTGCTGTACTTACAGATACTTTAACTGTGACATCTCTCATATTGCTTTGTAGGACAAACGGTGTGGAAGAGTTAGCTTATAATTGTTGCCCTGCAGCTAAAGGTTTGGTATAAAAGATGAAAAGCAGGATATTTTTCAATATCCTGCTTTTTATTTTCAGTCCTTTGAATAGAAACTCTGTTATCACTGGCCATAGAAGCCTGGGATTGCATTGTTTGTGCAAATGGATTTTGTCTTTGATTGACAGCTCACTCTAATGGAGAATCGGGAAGAATCATAATAGCATGTTTACAGCACTGCTGCTACCTTGGAAAATGGCCCATTGCAGAAAATTCTCACAACGATACAAACTGTAGTTACCGATAATCTCCTAGAACATTATGGATTTGTCAAAATACCCACAGCTAGATTATTTTAAGGTTTTCTCACATATCTATAAACAGGTTTGTGTTGTTTTTGTAACTATAAAGGGAGTACAGGTTGAGCACAGCTGAGGCTTCCTGTAGCCCCATTTCACTTAACGTTTACACCTCATGAGTATCTGTACTGCATCGGAGAGCTATGGGATATTATCTTGAGATGTGTTATGCCTAATCATATTTGATGAGATTAAACAGATCACTCACGCTTCTAGTTGTGACAGGGCCGAGTGGAAGTTAGAAGGAGTCAAATGATCTGGAACAAAGAACATGAGCTTGTGTATCCCCCCAGATGCATCACCATGCCATTAGTCTAGATGAATGTGTACAGTCAGACACAATTCCCTTGTTTGCTGCATGAGGGCTTCCACTTTGTGAGGCAGTAGCTCTGCTGTGCGAATCAGGCCACATGCAGGTCCATGGATTGATGACTGAAACAGGGCTACCCACTGTATTTTAAACTCATTCATCCACACTGACTCACATTCTCTGTGGTGCATCTTTAAATAGCCTTCCCTGGGATTGTCTGCCTGCCAGTTGATTAATTCTATATTGCATGTGCATGTGTGTGTGTGCGTGAGTGTGTGCGTTTGGTTTAATTACAACAAACTTTTCTGAATTGTTTAGGTGAAATTTAAATCATGCAGGCACCCGAGAATACACAAGCCAGCCTTGTTCTGGTTAGTCTTTTGGGGCGGGGGGTAGGAGAGGGTTGAAAGAGGAGAGTTGTTGAGTGTTTGGTGGTGGGGTGTAGTACTGTACCTGTGGCATAAGGTATGCAATAAATAGCTTGCCATCTGTTTGGATTTGAACACTTGAGATTCTTCCAAGAAACTCACCAGAGACTTAATTAAAGTTGGAATATTAGGAGCGTGAGACTGACGTTCCACTAATAAAATGACAGCTAGAGGAAATTCTTGAATTAGTTTAAAACAGATATTCTTTTTTTTTCTTCAAAATAAAAAAAGAAAACTGTGACTGTAAGGGAAGCGTTTAACCTTGTAAATTATTCCAATCGTTTTGATGATTTTTTATGATTCTAATCTCCATTTATTAAGGACATCTGCTCTTTCCAGCAAATAGGCACATTTAATGAAGACACAGGAAATGATGTATGTTCATACAAGTAATATGTTGAATACGGAAGTGCTGCGCTGTTGGTTAAATGAGTGATTAGCCAGTTAATCGGTGGATAAAGAACAATATTTGTCATGGAAAGATGATG